TGGAGAGAGCTAACAGCCAATTTCCCAAACAGGCCAGTTTCAGTCTTCAATTGGCACGATAATGAAATTCCTCTGCTTTAATCCTTACACACAAGGAAGTAACCTGATGTAAGCCAATCAGTTCTGTCTCCCTGTCCTTGCCTTACAAGGAAACCATCCATTTTTTGTTCTTTCTTTCTGCTATCTTCAGCCCTTTCTGTCTAAAAATCCAACCACTTNGTGGGGGTGACCCAGGTCCTGACAAGGGGCATTTGGGGTCTTCTGACACCTACATCCACCTCTGCACAAAGGATAAATACAGAGGGAAGGCCATGGCCCCCTCAGGAAGTGGGCAAAGACATTCTCCTTGAGCAGAAAGGATCAGACTCTGTCGGACGTCTGGTAGTTCTGGAGACCAGCTTCCAAGTGTGGGCTCCCAGTTTAGAACTGGATTCTCCTCCAGTTGTTGGAGTGAGCAGGCCCAAGGCCATGTTGGAACCTAAAACTGCACGGGCTCCAAAATATTTTAAGTTTTTTTCTTGGCATGCATTTCTCTGAGTTTCCTCTTTTCCCATGGTTATTTGACATTTTCAGCCTTGGTCACAGGGCAAGATGACATTATTTACATGCATGTAAAGTTGTTTTCCAGTCCGCCTAGAGCTGCAGACTCGCATGTACTATCCAAGGGAAACCAAGGAAGACATCAATAAAGCTGTGCTGATTCCACCCTCCAGCAGGACCCTGAGATGACAAGGACAGGAGCAGAAACCAGATGAGTCTCGGCGAGACTGAACCTGGCCCCCTGCAAGTCCCCCTCCCTCCTGCTTTTCATTTCCCACCTTCCATTCCCTCGGCTCCTCTTTAAACCCTCCTGACGCCCTAAAGTGGAGAGCAGTTCTAGTCTGTCTCATCAGACGTCTGATAATAAACTTCCTGCCTCGCCCCAACATTTGAGACTGATGAATCTTTTGTTTCTGAGCAGCAAGCAGCGGGACCTGGATGCTCGTAACACAATCTGACTAAACTTGGCCCTTCCCCAGAACATCGGGCTGGGCTGGGGTGGGCCAGGCCTGCTCAGCATGGTACAGCCTCTGGTTAAATAAACTAAAATTGGCCCAACAAGGCCTCGGTATGAGTTCGTAACTGCAACCTCACTTAGTACTAAACAAACTGAAAAGCTAACTTAGGAACAAATAGCCGCATCTCAGCCGATCACAGGTGGCAAACTGTTCACTCATGTCCAAATAACACAGTCACCAGCTGTAACCAATCAGGTTCCGTGCCTCACTTCCACTTTCTGTACGTCACTTCCTTTTCTCTGGCTATAAATATAACCTGCACCTGGAGGGGGGGGAAGCAGACAATTCTGAGCCATTTTTGGTCCAAACTGCTGCCTGATCCTAGAATCACAAATAAAAGCCAATTAAGATCTACAAAACCAGATCTGTTGTAATTTTGACTTTTAACACTCCTGTTAAGCTTTGGCCCTATCTCTTTGCTGAATTAAGATGTACTGTTTACCTGTTGTTGGGGGGAGCCTTTGGGTGAGACCCTAGACACATCACAGCAAACTTCACCTTAAATAGCCTCAGGGAGACCCCACAGGATTATGGGGTAGAGAATGGTTTGTTAGGGGGCATTCTGGTCACAGGAATGGAGGGCCCTGAGGCTCCAGCACTGCTCAGAAGGCAGGGACAGGATCCCCAAGACCCTCAGGCTTCCCAGGACAACTTTTGCTGGGCACACTGGAAACCCTGGCTCCTTGGGAAAACTGAGGCAACCCCACAGCTACAAGGATTTGGCACTTGGCTGTTTTATTTCCTCGGCAGTAAGACAAAAGGGAGGTGGGGGTCCAGCTAATCACCACATGGGACCCATTAGGTGCTCACCCACCGCCTTCTCTCCTGCCATCACTGGGAGCCCATGAGTCAACAGAATTCCTGGCCTCTGGGATGTCACCCCAAATGCCACCTGAGTTGGATGAAGAAACACTCTCTTGGTTAAGGCAGAGTCAGAACGAGGCTGGGCTGCTGGTGGTTGGGCATTGCCCAAGCTCGCTTGTGTCCAGCCCAGCCTCAGTGGGTCTTCCCTCGGCCCTCAGAGATGATGTCCTCTGGCTGGGAGCGCATGTACCACTCCACCCAGGAGCCATCATAGATGGACACGTTAGGCTTGCCGCAGAGGTAGGCCCCCAGTGCCACATGGCAGGCCGTGACACCGGAGCCACATGTGGCCACCAGTGGCTGGGACAGGGCCACCTCACTCTCCTGGAACAGGCGGTGGATCTCCTCGGGGCTCTTCTCCAGGCCCTCTTGGGTCAGGAAGTCAGTGAAAGGGATGTTCACGGTGCCAGGGATGTGGCCAGGTTCAATGCCTACAGCAGGGCAACAGGAAAGAAGGAAAAAATTGAGGGACAATACTGTGGATTGAATTGTGTTCCCCCAGAGTTTAATGTGTTGGAGGCTTGGTCCTCACTGTGACAGTGTTAAGAGGGTGGGGAATCCTATTGTGGTAACTGAAAGGTGGGGCCTTGGAGGACTGCACCCTCATCTATGGACTGATCCATTCTTGGAGTAATGGGAGTAGTTCTGGTGGCTTTAAAAAGAGAGTGAATGAGGTTAGTCTCTCTCTGCTCTGCCATCTCGCAATGTGATACCCTGCATCACTTAAGCCCCCACCAAAGAGAGCTCTCACTAGATGCACTCCCTGGACTTTAGACTTCCCAGCCTCTGAAACTATAAATTTCATAATTTATAATATAAAGTTTTTATAATATAAAGTTTTCAAAACTATAAACTCTGAAGCAATAAATTTCATTTTGTTATATAAATCACCTAGTTCCATATATTTTGTTATAAGCAACAGAAATGGACTAATACAGATGGTATGAATGGCTCCCCATGTCTGTGGCGCCCGTGGTGTTGAGATCCTCCCACGCCAGCATAGTGCTAACCCCTCCATGTGCATCACCTCATTTAATCCTCATGACCATAAAACTCAGGCACTATTTAGAAGCAATCACATTTTACAGTGATGTTGAAGTTAAGTACCACCTAAGGTCAATGCATCTAGCAAATTGCTGACTGGAATCTGAACCTAACAATCAGACTTCACCAGAGCCACACTGGGCCCCAAGGTTTCCTGACTATGTGTCCCTGGGGGCAACAAAGCAATAGCTGAGACCCCTCTCTAGCAAGGGCCTGGAGCACTTGCAGGCAAGGTGGAGCAGACAGGCAATAACCAGACAATTACAAGTATGATGGGTGTTGCGAAAAGGCTCTACTGGGTGGCATGGGAGCATATCATAAAAAATAACAATAGCTGACTTCAGATAGGAAGGACTATGAATTTAAAAAAAAACAATGTTAATAATAATAGCTGACATTATTAAATGCTTACTTTGTCCCAGGCACTGTTTGGAGCCCCTCAGATGTATGACGGTATTCAAAAGTTCTTGGAAGGATTCACATTATCTTTTAATTCTATTTTCCATGAACTTTTTGAAGTCCCCTTGTATTTTCTCTTTTAATCCTCTCCAAAACTCTATGAAAAAGAAATGCTTATCCTGCCTTTTGTACAGATGAGGAGAAGAGGCACAAAGACTAACTCACCCCAGAAAGTAAAAGGCAGAGAGGATTCAAACTTGGGCTGCCCAGATCCTGTGCTGCTAACCACCAGGCAGCACTGCCTGTGGGGGTGGGTGGGTGGTGAGGAAAGCTTCTATGAGAAATTACTGAATGATGAGCAGGATTCAGCCAGAGAAAGGGGTCTGGGAGGTGGGGGCTCAGTACATCCCAGGCAGAGGGGATATAAAGGGGCAGAAAACGGCATGTTGCTTGGAGGGATTAAAGGTCATCATGGCAAGAGCCCAGACAGTGGGCGGGCAGAAGCCAAGGGGGAACCTGAGGGGGATGGAAACTCCTTAGGAGGCTTGAAGTAAGACTTTAGGGCTTTGACCTGACTGCAAGGGGAGATCGGACTTCCATTTTAAAAAGATCGTTTTGGTTGTAGCAGGAAGAGGACCTGGGATGGCCAGACAACCAGTAAGTAAGAGGATCATCACCTTTCCTGAGTCGCCACAAACTCCCATAGCTCCCAACACATTTTTCACCACCCTCTGTTAGACAGGTGTTACTAATATTCCCATTTTCATGCTGAGATTTGCAACAAAATAAATCCTCACAGCTAATAATTTAAAGCTGGGCCACTTGGACTCTAGGGCAGCTTTTGCCTCGGTTTCCCTCCGTGGTGGGATGACACTCCTATGGGAGCTGCTAACCCTGTATCTTCTCTCTACAGCATGGTGTACAGACAGCACTCCCAAGTCAGTGTATGGCTGGAATGGCTCATGCATCCCCACTTAACAGATGCAGAAGCTAGGCTCATCAAGGCCAGCCCAGAGCAGGGAAGATAGTGCTCCCAACCAAGGGTGGTGACTGTAAAGGCACGGCTGTCTCTACACCTGGAACCCCACTGAGCAAAGCAGGCTTCCCCTCCCTGCTGGACTGATGTGGCAAACTACAGGTGCATTTGGCCAGGCCTCAGGCTGCGGAGTGGGAATGATGATGACAGTGAGCAATATTCACCACTGATGGCGACAGCAGTGCCGAGCCTTAACACACATCAGCTGGGTTCATCTGGACAGGCCTGCTAAGTGTGTGTCGTTATCTCCCACTTTACAGATGAGCAAGCATGGCTGAGGTCAGCATTAAGCACTCTGAAAAGACCCATAACCAGAGAAGTACACGTTAATTACATCACTTCCCATTTCTTTTTTTTTTTTTTTTTT